ACGAAAAAACTCAGATTTTATATTTACATATGTGTACACATGTGTGTGCATATGTGTGTTTGTGTGTGTGAATGTGTGTTAGGTTCTTTGCATTGGCAGCCTGAGAACTCATAGGTGAGATTCTCGTTGGGCACAGATTCTCATAAGATATGTGATAGAAACAGTTTGGTGAGCTGAAAGGGGGCAATTTTTCCTAATTTATTACAGCAGTTGGTGTCTTATTTCTCATGCAATTCACACAGATTCACATATCCCATGAAGTGACAACAGAGAATTAGGCAGGATGAAAACCTGCTGGTATCTGCAGTCGGTGCCTCAAAGTGCTCCCTTGGACACACGTTGCTGGTGGTGGGGAGTTTGCTGCCTCTAAACTGGCCTGACCTTTTGTCTTTTGACTTCTGATGCATGAAATTAGGTAGCAAAAGAAAATGCGAAGAAAAGGATACAAAAACATGGAAAAACAGCTCTCCCTGACAATAGTCATTGTATCAGATCATAGCGAAGCTGCCCTGCACAGCCTGGAGTGCTTGCTTATAAGGCTTCAGTTTTCCTGGTCACTGGGGTTCCTGTTCTCTTTTGTGGGCAATCTGCATTTGTCGGGGCAGGGATTAGGCACTCTTTTTAATTAAGCTCAAAGCTGGGTTTTGTCCTGACTCTTTTCGCCAGAGCCCATTTAGCTAGCAAGTAAGCATTTGGTTCCTCCATTTCCTTTGAGGCCTCCTGTGAAGGCCAAGTACCTAGTTTGTACCAGACATGGCAGCTTCCAAGACCCAAAGGAAGACTTTGCCTCTAATGCCTTTCTGGCCATGCAGGTCAAAGGTGATTCCCAACTGGTCTGGAGGGGAAGGCTGGGGTGGCAGTAGGCTTCTCGGTCCTAAAGGACTACATACTCAGATGATAGCTCTCTTTCTCCACACCCAGTTGGGGAGCCTGACATATTGGGATTCACCGCCCCGTTAGCCTAACGGACAAGCTTGAAACACTCCATTGTCATGAGGGCCAGGGAAGATGGGAAGAGCCTCCGCACAACACCCTTTGGTCCTCACAGCCAGCCTGGGAAGGGGTAACATCCCTGTGTCAGAAACGGGGGTATAATGTCACTTGACACCCTGGCCCTTGCCAGATGGGTGACACAGTGCTACTCAGATCAGAAGAGTTGTGAATGGGTATACGAATAAGCAAAAAGGGGCACTGGGCAGAGCAGGCAAGTTGGGTAAGCCAAATCTGGAAGGAAGGGTGGAGGAGACCTCTTTGGGGGAGTGATCTGCAAAGGATGAGTAGGACTTTACTATATAAATGAAGACACAAAAAGCATAATTACTACCCCATTTTGCAGATGTATAAACAAGAAACTCACTAGGTCTGGGGAATAGAGCAAAGGCAGACAGATGCGTTACATGGGCAGACCCCTGCCGCACTTTACCCGAGGTCACCTGAGCAGCAGCTACATCCACCTCTTACCAGGTAGAGTAAATGGAGGTAAGGGAAAGGCCCAAGAACCAAAGGAGAGACAGGTACTGTCGTTAGGGGAAGGCCCAAGACCCCTAAAGGAGAGTCACATACCTACCTTTAATTTCTAGTTTTACTTTCTCCCCTGGGAAATTTACAAAGTTCTTCAAAAACCCCAGCCTGGGAAAACAAACAAAGCAAAGCTCGCAGTTTGAAATGCTTCTCATATACCTTACTAAATCTTAGGCTCTGGTGGACCCTCCCAGAGCTGCAGCTGATGGCCACTACTCAGTGCACCGACCCTGCAGCCCTGAACTCTCCTTTCCTCTTATCTTGGGTGTTGGAGGGGAGGTATTTGTGTTTTGTCTTCATCATTCCTTTTAGTTTGTGAGCTCCCTTGGCCAGAGCTCTTTCTGCAAGTGCCAGCCTTTTCTCCAGAAAGCCAATAACATTGTTCTGTCCACTTGTAACAGGAACTACTAAACTTTAGCATAAGAGAAATCACATGCAGATACCTGGGCCCGTCTTGGAGACCTTGGCTTAGTGCTATGGGACAGAGCTTGAAACTTGAATGTTTACTAACTTTTCCAGGTGGATCAGATGCAGGAAATATCTGACCACATTGACTTAGAAACTTTTCCAAGGCAGAGATTAACCCACCGTGACTCACTGACCCACGTCCCCCTCACCAGGTCTGCAACTGTCCACACATTGAGAATTTGGAGCTTGTCAGGGTAGAATCATCCAGATCCCAGATCCCCAAAGTACCAGTGGTCAGATTAGCGAACTATTCCCTATTTGCCTCAAAAATACCAAAGAAACATCTTTGGATATAGATGTACCCCTCCTCCCACAGTAATTCAATTCTATTCAGCAAAAAGAGTCCAGTGCTTAGTCTTAAAGGAAGATGTGAGCCGCCTGCCCTGAAGTTGCTAGCACTCAAATGACAGAAGTAAGCCTATAATGTAAGGTGGAACTTGATCACGCAGTTAATGCAACTAGGGTAATGCTGGAGGAATTTATGAAGCGTTCTTAATTTTCAACGTTTGATCTGGGTCTAGAAGTCTGAAATGGAAAAGATGAGGACAAGGACACTACAGACCAAGGACTCAGTATGAGCAATTGCTTGGAGGTAGAAAATGCTTGGCCTATATAGGAACTGACAAGGCAGAAGCATAGAGAAAATTGCATGTTGATAAGAGTGGGCACCAGCTGAGGAAAACAAAGTCCTCAAAGAGATAAAGTAAGAACTACATTAGAGCAGTCTTAAGGTTTGGTTCACCTACTCACTAACCCCATGGCACCCATGGGATCATTTGAACTTCCTTTGTAGCTTTGTAAGTCTCGTCTCTCTCTCTCTGTCTGTCTGTCTCTGTCTCTGTCTTTCTCTCTCTCTGCAGTTCTGGGGAATTGAACCCAAGGTCCTTACACTGAGCTATATCCTTTATCCCTAGCACTTTTTCTTTGCTTGTTTGTAGATGGGATCTTGTTGAGTATCTAAATTGTCCAGGCTAGGTTCAAACTTTCAATCCTCCTGCCTCAGTCTCTCAGAGTGCTGGGATTACAGGAATGTGCTATCATGCCTAGCTAAGATCTTCTTGCTGAGCCTTCTGGCTGAACCCTCTAGCTGAGCAGGAGTCACTGGTGCCTGCTTTTGCAGATTTTTGTGCCTGTACTGTGTCTGGAGTTATTCCGTGAGTGAGCATATTAGGCTTTCTCTGGGGCCCAGATTGTACTAATGTCTGTGACACACCGCCACAGCTCCTTGTCCTTTTGCCTTCAGTGTTTGTTCCATTTTGGCAACCCCAGACACCTGCACAGAGCCTGCACATAAAAGGTGTTTATTTGAGATTTAGATGAAAAAATAAATGTAGTAAGGGGCAAATCTTTCCTGAACTGGGCCTCTTTAGTCCTTTCTAGCTTCTATTTCTGCATCTGATCAGCATGATTTCACCTCTTTGCTTCTCAGTTTGCTAACCTGTATAATGGAGGGAATAATTGCTGCTTACCCAATTCACATCTCAAGGCCATTGTGAGAGACAAATATATAACAGCTAGCCACTTGCTCCACAAAGTGTTGTTAGGATGAGCTTAGATTTCTCAAGGCTATTTTTAAAAAATCTTTTTGGTTGACAAATATATTTTATCCTTTGGTAGAGGAGCTGATGGCCTAGCATTTGACAGGAGGTTTGTATAGGAGGCCAGCTGAACTCATTTGTTGAAAAATTGTATTTCTTTTTAAAGACTCCTTTTCTAGTACTGAAAGAGAAGAAGCAAAGAAATTCAACTCAAGCACATCTGAGGGACATAAGGTTAACAGCTGTCATGATACTGCTGATAAAATTCTGAAAAGACAATGTTAGATGTAGAGTTGCTGTGTTAAAACACAGCTGGGCAGAGCTGAAGAAGGAAGAAAACCTCAGATCCTGGAGGGAAAATGAAAATATATAATGGCAGCCAATAGTGCATTAATGAGGTGACCTCTACTGTGTAGATGCACATCTGTACACATACACATTCTATAAACTGAGGAAAGAATTTCACTTTGAGGAAGAAGAAGGCTCAAGCAGGTGAGTCATAAGTATTCTGTCTGATTCTCCACTAACCCTGAGGAATCTTCTAATAGTCATTCTCTTCAGTGAGAAACTAGAATAGACCAGAGCCTCCAAGATGGTATAACCGGTAGTTTATCAATTAATGGGTTGCTAATTAATAATAATAAATAGTCTATTGAGCACCAGGACTTGGAGTAGTGGGCCTTATTAGATTGGATGAACTATTTCTGGGCTGGCCTCTCTGCAGCACCCCAGTAAACAGGGGTGAAGCTTAAAGCTGGAAACCTCCAAAGATGGAGAATTCACTAGCCCCTTGCCTTGTGGGGTGCCCTCCGGGAATTATTTTCCTTCACTGAGCACATGTCAGCTTCCATAAAGTTTCTGAACACTAGTCCTAGTTTTGTCTTTTAGAGGGCATTCCCCTCAAGAAAGAACAACATGATGGCACAGTGAAGGTTCCTGAGAAAGTATCTGCTCAGCCAGTGTGAGGGGAGTTCAAACAGCTCCTCTGTGTCTTTGGATGAGCAAGCCCATCTCAAAGTGAGGGGGTGATCTTGGAATGTCCCCCAGAAGCAGCACATTCAGGAGTGAAGCAGAGGAGGACTATGGGACAGGGAGCCTAACCTGCAGGAAATTTCTAGAACCCCATCCCCATGACTGTCTCCATGTGGGCTTCCCACATAAATCTGTCTTCAAAAGAACATTTCTGGGCTGGGTGTGTTGCTCAGTGGTAGAGCACATACTTAGCACATGCAAGGCCTTCGGTTTAATCTCCAGCATCAAAAATAAAATAAAATAAAATTTAAAAAATTTTTAAAGTGGACATTTCTATAACTACACTGTGAAACCATGAGTTTGGCCTATGTATGTTAAAACAGTCCTGGGACCTTCCAGAGTTTCCAAAGTAAGCTAGAGGAAAGGTAAGGGCTGGTGAGAATAACTGACATTTCTTTCTGTTTCTTTGTTTTAACTTTTCTTTTTGTCTCTTTTCTTGAGATGGGGTCTTGCCATGTTGCCCAGACTGACTTGAAATTCTCGGAGCTCAAGATGAATGTCCTTACTGAGCCTCTCAGCTCAGTAGCTGGGAATAGAGGTATGCGCCACCACCTTTTTATTTCCCTTTTCTTCTCTTTTTAAACTGATATTTCTTGATCACTCACTGGGAACATTCCATAGTCAAAACAAATGTGTGTGGCAGGTTTTATTAGTGCCCCTGTTACATAGCTGAAGCCTCAACTGAGGCTTGAGACACCAGGAGTTGCCCAGGATCACACAGCAGACAGCACAGGTGGAATTTGAAAGCCAATTCCGAATTCATAGCCAAATCTTTAAAACACTAACACTATACACGTTCCCTCAAACTCAGTCTCCCAACCACACCATAGCCAAGCTTCTCTTCATGTATGTCCTCTCTCATGTCATACGGACTTCTTTTCCTTTCTTTTCTGGTGCTGAAATTGGAACCCAGAGCTTTGTGCATGCTAGGCAATCTCTCTCCCACTGAGCTCACAGTGATTCTTAATGGAAAATAATCCAACTGAACAGTTTTAGAGAATTCACAAAGCATTTCTGTTTCTTCCTGTACATTATCTTGAAAGATCTTGACACACACCCAAGTTGCAGCCGGACAGAAATTAGCATCTTCATCTCACAGAGCAGGAACTGTTGGGGTCCCTTCAGCTTGACTAGCCCTTCTCCACCATGGTCTACACACCTGAGTGGTGGTCAACAGGTTGAGAAATGCATGCAATAGAAATGGCAACGCTTGCTCTGTCAAAAGGGAAAAAGAGACATATGGAACTTTCCTGGAGAAACTTTTAATCCTAAAAAAAGAGGACATTCTTTTTCTTTACATGTTTGAAATGGAATAATGAGATAATCCTGGATTTTAAAAACTCAACTCTGGTGTTTATATTTTAATTTATTCTCAGAAGGGTAGGAGGGTCCAGAAGAAATGCAGTATGTGGGTCTTAGTTTATGATTTGCTATGGTAAGCCACATTTAATCCCTTTCTTCAGTGAAGGGATTTATGAAGGATACAACAGAATGTACCTATCTGTTGCATTCATTGTGGGTTTTTGCTCAGATTTTTATTTAGTTTATAATGTTTCAACAATAAGGGAAATTAAAAGGAATGAAAATTATATATAATCCTACCATCCTAACAAATGCATGGTTTAGTGTTCCTCTTCTGTCCTTTCTTACAGGCAAGAAAAATTTACATAGGTGATTTATTAGTATACTTACACTTTCCATTCAGCTTTCTCACATAACAGTTTATCATTAGAATGCCACCTGGTCTTCATAATTATCATTCAAAAATAAATGTTTCAATAATTATTTTGATAGCTGCTTAATACCCTTTTAAGTGGATATGTCATTCCCTGGTATTGCATATTTAGAAGGACTCCAATTTTTCACTATCACAGATAATCCCAAAGTACCCGTCTCCATATATATCATTTTCTCCTATTTTTGTCATATCCTTAAATCCCCAGATCTAGATTTGCTGGGTCAAAGGGCCTGAGTTCCTGCATAATTCTTAATATACGTGAGCAAATCACTTCACAAAAGGCTTTTATAAATTTATTTTGTCTCTAGTGATGGATGAGTACCATAGCTTCACACCATGCTCTTGTCACAACCAAAAGAAATCTGTCAACAACACAATACATTTTATAAGCAACATTTTAAATTCATTTTTTAAAAATGATCACACAAACCTGTCATAGGCTGTCTCTTCTTTTATTCTTGTTTCTGTCATAAGTTAATTCCTATACCAGGAATTTGGGGAAGCAGGAAAGCAATTATTATACTTACTTTACAACTGAGGAAAGTAGGTTTCAACCCAGGGTTTTGTCCAGGGTTTCACAGTGAGTAAGTGGAAGCATTGAGACTTTGGCCATGTTGGCAGTAGCTACTGCAAACCAAAGATAGCATTGGTTTTTTAAAAACTGAAATATCCTCTGTCCATTCAGTGTTTTTGTTTGTTTGTTTGTTTTTGAGACGGGATCTCGCTAAGCAGTTCAGGCTGGCTTTGAACTCACTATGTAGTCCAGGCTGGCCTCGAACTCAAGTTGGTCCTCCTGCCTTAGCCTCCCAAGTGCCAGGATTACAGGCACGAACCACCACACCTGCCAGCATTTTGCTCTTTGGAGGGTTTTTTGGTTGGTTGTTGATTGTTTGTTTTTGTTTGTTTTTGGTTTTGGGGGTTTTTTTTGGGGGGGGCGGTTTCCGGTGCCAGGAATTGATGTTTTTGTTTGTTTTTGATGATAGGGATTGAACCCAGGGCCTTGCACATGCTAAGCAGGCACTTTACCACTGAGCTACAGCCCAATTCCTCTGGCTTTTGGAGACACCGGGAAAATATGTCCACACTAGGCATTTTGTAAAGTGTGTGTGTGTGTGTGTGTGTGTGTGTGTGTGTTACTGGTGATTAAACCCAGGGCCCTTCTACTGAGCTACATCCGAGTTAAATCCCTAACCCTTTTTATTTTTTGTTTTGAGATAGCATCTCACTAAATTCCCTAGATGGAATTCCATACTCTTACTTCAGTCTCTCAGAGTGTCAGTATTATAGGTATCCACTACCATATCCAGAGCTGTAACTTCTTTTAACAAGCATCACAGATCCTCTTGTCACTAACTGCTACTCAAAGAATGGGCTCACTTTGAAGGAGAACTTTGATATATTATCGCCAGAGGATCCCTTACCTTCAGTGTAAAGGTCACTTCACACAATGGACTTATTTTGGAGATGGAGACACGGAGGTCCAGAGAAGAGAAAGGATTTTCCCAGACTCATTCACAGAGTTGGCAGCAGAGTCAGCATGCACCCTCTGGTTTCAAATGTTGCCTACAACCTAGAATGGGTCCCTTGTGTTTGTGAAATATTAATAATAAGTATTTTTTAAAAGGAACATCAGAGGCAAAACCATTTGAGAAACACCGGATATCTGATACTTCTTTTGGAGCTCACTGGCCAAATAAATATGAATAACATCAAGTTAGAGTGAAATGGGTTTGTAATTCCAGCACTGTGGGTGGCTGAGACAGGAGGGTTATAAGTCTGAGCTCAGCCTTAATAACTAGTGAAACCCTATCTCAAAACAACAACAATAACAAAAAAGGCTGGCGATGTACCTCAGTGGAAAGGCAAAGGCACTCAGTGAAAAAGTGAAGCAGATTTATTTATTAAAGGACTTCCAACACCCCAAATGACATTTGTTTTATTTAGTGTTTTTCTTTGAGCAAATATTTCCTTTTTTACTATATTTTATTTTTATTTATATTGCTAGGGAGTACCTGCACATGGCTCAAATTTAAAAGATAAAAGGAATTTGAAGGAAAGTCCCTTCTTATATCTGTCCCTCATCTACCTAGTATCTCTTCTTAGCAACCAGTACACCTACAGAGACAGTCCATATGTGTATCCTTAACAGTGTGGTGATCATTCCACCTTGGTACATAAAGGGCTTCCTCTTTTCTCATATTGTTTCTTCCTGCAGTATGATAGTCTGTTCAATATGTATTTGAATCTTCAGTTAGAATATAAAGTCTCTACTTTAAAGAGCACAGAGTCCCTTAGAAAAATGAGGTACATTCACTGTGACCATGAAATGAAGGTAGAAAGTTATAGGGAGGGAGGAGTGTACTGTGGTGATCAGGCAGAAAGAAAGAAATCATTCTGAGCTGGATTTGAGTGTTGGCTGGGAGCTGGGACGTGAGAAGGTGACACTGTAGGTGAGTCTCTGGCTGATAACTAATGACAAACAACTGTTCATCACACTCACCTTTGTTTTAAGTCAGAGAAAGCCAGTATATGTGACTCTGGCCGACACCAACATTTATATGCTGGGCACAAAAACTTCATTTTTATTAGCTATATTTGTTGCCCATATATTGGAACTGATCTTAAAGTGGAAGTCAGACGTGATATCAGATATCATTTGGAGTAATGAGTGTATTTTCCTAATCTTTTCAACACCAACCTAACAACTCATCTCCAATAGCTTGCATACTAATTAATTTGTTTTCCATATAGTAATAAGATTAACAACCTCACATTTACACGGGGTACTGAGTCATGTTCAAATAAAACAAGTTCTAATGAGAAAAATTGGATGTGGCAGCAAATCATGTCCCACCCGGCAATCCAGGTTTATGTGTGTTTGTCTGTCTTTGATACACGTATTTTTGTCAGAATCTCACTGTAAACAAGATGATTCCTTTCATGTTGGGTTAGTCTGGGTAAATTTGTTTAATGAACAACAAAGTCATTGTAAACACTGCACAAATCTGACTGCCTTGCAGTGTGGCTGGGAATCTTTTAAGCTGCTTCAGAAAATGAAACATGTTAACCACAAAGACAATATTGGGAAAAAATTATTAATATATTAAGGCTCTTAGATATGCAGGCTGCTTAGTTCTGTGCTGGACGACTGAAGAGTTTGTGGTAGAATGAGATGTGACCTTGCTCAGCCTCTGTACTTCCCCTACTCTGAGCCTCACTTTCTTTCTCTGTCACCTGGAAAGTGTTGTCTAGGACTGTGAATGTCCTGCCTACTAATCATCAGAATCAGCTAAGAATGGAAGCTGGATAGTGGAGGCTTTTAAAAGTACACACAGACTGGAGCTGGTGACACAGAGCTTCAGTTCCAGGACACTAGGAAGCTGAGATGTAGGGTCACAAATTTGAGTCCAGCTTGGGCAATTTAGTGACATAGCAAGACCCTGTCTCAAAATTAAAAAGAAAGAGAAAACAAGCAAGCAAGCAGGTAAGCAAGCAAACAAGCAAGCAAGCAAGTTGGGAATGTAGTTCAGTGCAATGGCCCTGGGTTCCATCCCTCATATTGCAAGGAAAAAGCTGTCCTACTAAATTCCAGTCCTACTAGATTCCATACCTCAATCTGTATTTTTAAAGACAAATTTGTCAGGTGATTTGTGACCAGACAAGTTTGAAGTTTATTGGACTAGACAGATTATCACTAAGATCTTTTCCAGCTCTTACTATATTCTCTTTCTTTATCATGATTATAAAATGCATAATTCTAAGTGCTCACCTTAGAAAATATTGCTACGCATGTTTGAGTG